TGTCCAGGAGCGTCGTGACAACGCAGCGCGTTAACATCATAACCGGAAGATGTCTGTAAATTTCAACTAAATATCAGTCTTTGGTTATCCCGTGCGAATGTGCCACATAAAAAACAGATGTTGGGAAGTAGTTTATTGATTACACGTGGTCCTTAGGTAAAACTAATCCCGTACAAATAGGGCTTAAGTCGCATCAGTCAAAAAAATCATCACGAAGAGAAAAAAAACATATGAATCGCATTTATTAGGCGCCACTGCTGCCCCCTGGGAAACGTGGACCGGTGTCGTGCCAAAAATCGATTGGCGGCTTCTGTAGCGCTCACGTGAGATCTCACTGTTGCATTTCTTCGAAATTTAACAACATGCTGGGAGTCTTATTTGACAGTGAAACTTGTTTTTGTTACATTTTTCTTAGCTCAGTAAAACGAGCTGCACTTGATTTGTGCTCATAAAAACAAATTTTGAAAAATAAATTTGGTCTGGGGTGGCCTGTTAGGGTAAGCTTGAGATTTTGCTTTGATGCTGAGCTGACAGAAAAGGGTTCAGTTAATAAATTATATATATATAAATAATGCTAAGATTCATCGAGGAAATGCATATTGCCAATTTCAGATAAGATCTCGATTCATTCTTCTCATCTACTACACCAAGCATCTGTAAAATTAACTGTTATGACCATTTTTGTGTTTGCTAAGCTTCATTAGTTGTGGCAGCCATCTTGTATCGGGCCGTCTCCAACAGTAAATACTTTGTAAATGTACATCCAAGTTCTCGTCAATAGGAAAAACAATGAATTTCTTCTCCTACTTGATAAATTAGGTCTGAATAAATGTTCCTGACAGTTATTTCTCTGGGGTAACTAACTGAACTGCGTCTTTAGGTGTGTGCGACCAGAGTTTTGGAATCCACGTCGCTGAGTTGGCGTGCTTCCCTGCGTCGGTGCTGGCGGTGGCAAAGGAGAAGGCGGAGGAGCTGGAGGAGTTCCAGGAGCCCGCAGGAGATCATCTGAAGCGGGAGGACGAGCCAGAGGCCAAGAGACGGCGGATGGACAAACAAGTAGGACTTAAGTTTGAATGAGCCGAGCTGTGAATCATGACCTCATGTTTTGTTGTGGTTGAGATCTCGAACATTAAATATTGACTGACGAGCAGCGTTTGTTCTTAATGTCCATGTGCTGACGTTTTTTCAGGCGGGAGAAAACCTGATCCAGGACTTTCTGCAAAAGGTGAAATCTCTCCCTGTTGCCACCATGACCGAGGAGGAGGTGAAGGAGGAGCTCAGGAGGATGAAGCAGGAGTTGATCACCAAAAATAACCCGTACGTCCGTGAGCTCCTCGCTCGCTGTGTTCCAGTGAAAACTGCGTAATTTTTACTCTCGTTGTTCTCGTAAAACTCGTGTACTGTACTAAACTGGAGCTCCTACACTGTATAGTTTTCCAATAAAGAATTGTTTCTTATTGTGACTCTGATTGAAGACTAAAGGACATTCTGGGGTTTCAAACGTGGTTTTATCATCTGAGCGGTGTCAAAACAAGCATGTCTTCATCTGACTGAGATTTCTAAGAACTTCATAATGTGAGAGCAGCCATGTTTGGCCGCTCGACCCACTTCTCTGCTCACTGTTACTGATGTATTCATGTCGGGTGTTCTGCTCCGAGGCTTGTGTTCTTGGCTCTGCTCGTCACATTTGATAAAACTGCAGCACGGGTTTTGCTGTGTGTAATTCAAGTTTTCCCCCAGAAGAAGTCATCTGGCGCACAGAAGAGATTTATTTGTGTCCAGTTCAACACAATGACTCCTGAGAAAGTGTTACACCTGGATTTAGGACTTAATCTAGTCTGATTCCCTCAACTTTGATATTTGATCATTTGTGGGGACTTCCTGAAGACAGCCCCCTGTTGTTATCCACCTGAAGAAGTTCTTACTCTTCCTTCAACTTTAATGCGGTCTGAACCACAACGTGTTCCCCCACAAACGTTATATCAAAACGACCGGCTCGGCACCGTGATGTGTGCTATTGCTTTCAATGGCGTTTCGAGTTACCATGGCGACATAATTTGCAAACAAAGACGCCATTTTTTCTCGTTGAAAATCACAGAATTAACGGCATCTGCCATGTTGAGGTCGCATGACCTGGAGGAGGGAGGTGTCTGAACAAAACCCCGATCAAGATGGCTGCAACAGCTAAATCAAAATTGTAGATAACTCAATCATATGAGATATTGGGAGAGTTCTACATTCCTAATGCAAATTAAGAATCAAAGATAGCCAACTTGACTAAAAGGGAAAAAATACCAAAAAAAAGCCATTTTAAAAGATGCTGAGCTGAAATTTGGTGTGGTGCCCGACAGCGTTGCACAACACACTCTGAAATCAAATGTAAAAGTGCAAGATGGCCGCCAAAGCTAATTTCAAATAGACAAAACTCTGCCATTTTTAGAGCCATTCGGCTGAATTTTGTATTGGTAGCTGAGAACGATCCCTAATAAACTGATGGCAAATCAAAAATCTGAGTTGGACACCCGAGCTAAAAAGGAAAAATACTACAGATCAGTCATTTTTACAGATAATAGTAATAACTGAGAGCAATGCCCAACACACTGTACCACTGTCGAATCAAAAAATAAAAAATGGCCGCCACGTGGCAGTCCTCATCAAAGTTTCTCCAGGAACTTTCTGTTTGTTTTTCTCTATTAAAGGCTGAACTTGGAGCAGACCAGAAGATGGCCAAATCTTGTCCTGGTTCCAGTTTTGCTGATAAATTACTGATCTTGTCCCAGGTGTCCACATAAATTCAAGATTTATTTAATTTTTTCCCCCTCAGGGTCATCTTTGTTGCTGGCTGCATTTGACACTGAAAACTAATCGACCTTAGAAAACAAACAAAAAAACTACAAGTCATTTTACAGATACTGGGCAGAAAAAGGATCTGTTTGTAGCTGAAAATTATTCGCAAGTCCAAGCATTACCCAGTGCACAAAATCAAATCTTAGGCATCAGTCCTGCTTGTCTGTTAGCAAAATTTCTCATAAAACAGTTGAAACTAATGGAGTGCACATCTAAAACTCAACTTTTGAAGTCAGCTCTGTCACAGCTAACAGACCAAACATAAAGGGCTCAGTTTTGCAGATATTTAGTGATAGTAGCAGAGAATCATTAAACGTTCTCTGAAAGCTAACATCTTGTGAGATCTCGCATTAGATTGTGCGTGACGTCTACAGGGTTTGACCAAGACGGCTACGACGCCCTCCCTTCTCAGAATCTTAATTTGAAACAGATATGCTAGGCCTTTAACTAATCCTGCTGCCTTTGGGTCAAAATGTTTCAGATTCATTCAAGTTTTGTGGTAAATCGGAGTCACACCTTGGATTTTAATAGCACACGCTGCACTCAAGCCGCTGAGAACTGAGGTTTACAGCTCGATGGAAAAAAAACTTGTTTAAAATGGTGCCGTTGACCGTGTCGGTGCAAACACGTGATCAGCTGATCGAGGTTTCCAAGAAACCCACCATTATAAAACGTTCTCAACTGGACCAGGCGTGTCCGCAGGCAAAACCACCAGCATCATCTGGTCACGTCAAAGTCATTCATGTCGCGCTGGCTGGTGTCAAACTCGTGTTCTGCACAGATTCCTCTGCTGGTCACGTTAAAAACAAATTACAACACGAGTTTGACCTCGTGTGGAGGTCAACCCCTATAGATCGAGAACCACACCAACTTTTAGTTCTTCCGAGTTTGTGTGGCTTCTGTTTTTCTATTTAAAAAACAAACTACACTTTTACTGCCATTATAAATCAATCATGGTCAGTATTACTGGTAATTGGCCTTTTGTGACACTAAACCTTCCCAGTTCTGTTAAATCCATCGACCACCAAGAGCAGGCCGTCCTCACAAATGGAAACCGAGCAAGAAGGTGAATAGTGACACTCCTGTGGTTGCGCTGATGGAGTCACAAGCTTCAGCAGGTGAGACGGGAGAGACTGCGAACAACAACCGTTTCTCTCGTTCTTTACAAGTCAGCTTTATGGGAGAGTGGCGAAGAGGACGACAGCATGGAGGGGACTCCATGGTCAAGTGGAGGAAATTTGTGGTTTGAGACCAGAGTGAGGTCTATTTGGCCATCAGACACACAAAGTCAACTGTGAAGCACGGTGGTGGCAGCATCATGCTATGATGTTAATCAGTTACAAGGTAAAATGAATGCTGCAAAATATAAAGCTATCCTGGAGGATAATCTGATGTCTGCAGAAGAATTATGGCTTGGGAGGGTTCTTTTCCAGCAAACGAAAACCTAAAGCGCACAAGGATGATACATGGAAATGGTGAATGTTCTGGAGTGGCCCAAACCCAGATCCATTAAAGAATTTGTGTTTGTTCATGGCTGATCCCCCCACAACCTGAGCAATTTTGTAAAAATCAGACTTGCTCAATCAAACCAGGATTAGGCGCTTGTCTTAAATGACCTGACAGGACTGTGTAGTTATGCAGTCGTTGAAATCGATTTACTCTGTAGAAGTTTAATTTCCCTTTGATGATCAAGTTATTTATAAAATAAACTCGTTAAAAATGTGAATTTATATTGACCATGACTGGTTTATGACAGCAATAAAAGCATAAAACATCCAATGGGAGATCCATGACGTCAGGAAAAAGTGATGAAATGCTGCCACCTGCTGGTTTAAATTGAGCTCTGCTATAAACATTTTTTTTTTTAACAGTAATCTCATCAGCTGGTGGTGAATTCAGATGTAATTGGTACTATTCTAAAAAGTAACTGCATGAAACACATTTCATACACAATCCATACCACTTTGGAACATTTAACGCAAGTTCTCCGTTTTTGTTATTTTCAGCAGTTATCCATGTATGAAGCTCAAGTTGCTGTCCAACATTTTTTGTTGCACCGCCTTGGCGTGAAGCATCTTTTACACCAAAATGTACGGCTCGACTGGAAATCATTTGGCTTTTGGCAGCAAAGCGTTGCATAATGTTCGCAAAAAAACTGCAAACAGATAAAGAGATCTATGCGTTTTTAGTGAAATACTATAAAAAATAACTACTCAGCCTTTAGACACGAGTACCAGAAAGTTGGGCTTTACGCGTCTGAACGGACGTTTTATACGTTTTAAAGTTTGGACTCTATCATTTTTAGGATTTAATTTTTCTCCCCACAGAATGTGCAACACTTGATGTCACGCTATCTTTTGTTGTCTCAGCCTCGCATTAAAACGTGGGGATTTTTGTCTCGTTTGATCTAATGTGACTCTTCATGCCATAGGACCTACGGATTTCTCTCGAAGATCCAGTTATACTCGATATTTAACTCAAAATATCAAAACTAGATGTGAAGGATTCTCATCTACCGGTATATAAAACGTAAAGTCATGTAGGACTACTAGTCTTCTGTCACCGTTTAAGAAATTTAAGACAACTTTGTTTTCACGCAGCGATTGAGCCTCATTTTCTGTTCATTTGCTCTGCTCTTCATTAACTTGGCAGTCAGGGAGTAACAGTGGTTACCATGGTGATCATACTGAGCACCTTACAGATTTAACTTAAAAAAAAAAAAAGTTTCTTTAAACCTCTACCACTTTTAGCAAACAGAGGTTGCATTTCTTCAGAAATGTCCTTGCAACAGTGACATCTAAAATTTTCAATTAATTCAGCAAAATGACTCAATCCTATAGATTTCTGAAAACAATTAAATCTCTGAAAATTATAGTTTAGTGGTAAACAGTCTAGTTTTTAAGCTTGTACTTGTTATAACAGTCAAACTGAATCTTTTGTTCTTCAAATTAACCCCCCCCCCCCCTCCCCCCCACAAAACTGCATCTCATCAAGAGAAAATAAAAACACACACACCTTTGATCTAATAAAGTTTTATTTTCTTAGAAATGGCAAGTTTTCGTTTTTTTCTTTTGTCTTTCTAAGAAACTATACCCCTTTTTGAATTCCAACTAGCATCTACATAATGGTTATTGAATACTTCACAATATATTAAGTCTAGATGTTATGATACATGCATACGATTCAGGCTGCATGAGGAGCCAAAGTCACCACGATACACTGGAGGAGGGGAGGACAGGGGGACGACTGCAGACGGACTGTAGTTCCAGTTAAAAGGAGCTCGGTTGCCTCCTGTTTGAAACCCTCTCCACAAAACACTGACTGGATCAACATATAAACGCACTCTCACGCACACAACTTGCACTGTACACAACACACATTTACACATCTCTGTACAACCGTGGAGCCACTCCACCCGTCATTTAAACCAACACACAGGAGAGGGTTTATAGTGTTTAAACGAGTTTCTCTTTCACAGAAAGAATTTCAGCACTGGGACGTTGGGAGTTCCTGCAGTTCGACGAGGTGGGGGGGGTGGGGACGTTAAACCAAAGAAAAATAATAATAATTATAATAATATATAATAAAATAAAAGACATTCAAATACAGTCAGCTTTTTTGCTTTAAAATACAAAACTACATGAGAAAGAATTGAAATAATTTCAATATCAGAACATTTTTTTCTTTTCTTTTTTTTTAAAAAAGGCCCAAGTGCTCCATCAGTCACACAGTTATGTTTTTTTTGTTGGTTTTTTATCCACACAGCGTGACATTCACACATCCATTGCCAAGTTACAACTGTCTGAGCATCCGGTAGGGACGGCAGCTGCGAGGAAGCAGGAAGTCCCTTTTTTTTGACAGCAGTTGTCAAGAAGAACAAGAAGAAGAGGATAAACCGAGGGGAGATCTTCATACTTCAAGTACCAGCTGACTTCATCAGGCCCTCTCAATGAAGCCCTTCTATTCCCATCTTCTTAGTTTACAGACTGCAGTAAGAAATACTCCAGGGAGGAATCTCTTCAGGCCGTTCTGTCAGTTTATCTTCAGCTCCACCGCCTCCCTCTACTGACCTGCAGCAGCAAGTCCGGCTGCAGCCAGAGGAAGCTGCTTCCTCTGCAGCCTCTTCCACTGCGACACCGTCCGAGAGCGCCGCAATCGGAGTCTCTCTGGGCTCTTATAGCTGCAAGTGGATGCGTGCATGGTACTGTGTGTGTGTCTGTGTGCAACGTAACGTGTTTTGTATGCTTATCTGAGGGCGTTCACTCAACCGCACGCCTTCAGTTATGCTGCAGCGTGTTGGACTCGATGGGCGGCGCCGAGTCATACAGAGTGTCCGTGTCATGCGTGGGTTCTCCGGCCAGCGTGCACGGGTTGGACAACGTTCCCGCTCCGCAGTCACAGAAAAACCTGGAGCACATCACACATAAGGGTAAAAACATTTAGAACAAAACTAATTAAATACCTTTTTTTTTTTAAATGGCGACTGACTGAAAAAGGTATTACTGACCTCTCTCAAAAAAATTGTGTACGACATAAAACTTCTCGCTTCATCTTTTACTAAAAACAATAAAAAAAAAAAAATGTTCTTGTAATTTTGAAAGTGCTCATCCAGCAACTGATCCAACGCTTTTAGGAGTTTTGTTTGAACATTTGGTGAGTTTTTTTTTCTTTTAATTTTATTTACATATTTTACAAGAAATTAAATATTCCATATTACAAGCATCTTCCCATTTTCCAGTCTTTATCAACTGCGGCCATTTTTAAATTGGACAAATACTTATTTACTGTGGAACCCCCACACAAACTGATAGAACATTCTTGTTAGTTTTCACTTAACTCACAAGTATCGTAGCATCTCAATAACCTATATTAGTAAAGATGAGAACTATATTCATTAGAACCAGGGGAGCTTACAAGGAGAAAAAGTAAACAATAATAATAAAAACAGGGGAAGAGGGAAAAAGGAAAACAGTATTACATCATTCACCAGTTGGGGGAGAAGTCGTGACAGAAGTTATAAAAATCTGGCTCTAGTTGGGGTTACATGCTTTATCCACTTGTTGCAAAATCGATCAAATTGATCTCTTTGGATATTCAGGATATAAGTTAACTTTCCCATCTTGAATATTTCCAAAGTAATATCCAACCACCCTTCCACTGTAGGGGTTGGGTGGAGCCATTTTCTGGTAATATTTTTCTTGTTCACCACTAAGAGGGTCTGCAACAGTTTCCTGTTCCATGATAGCAACATCAGCAAAGTAAAGAGTCACAAAAGTCGATGGTATTTCAATTCCAAAAATAATAAATCAAATTTAAAGGTTTTATGAATGTCTCTCCAGTAAGTACTCAATTTAGGACACCCAGAACATTTGGTAACGACTGGCTTCTGAGCCATATCATCTCCAACATATCCATGTCTTATTCTTATATTTGTCCTGTGCTCGTGTCCTAAAGTATTTAGTGTTTCCATTGAGTTTTACTCCTTGAACTGGACTGTTTTCAGTTTCGTCTCCTTTACATCTTTTAAACCATGATTCCTCATAGCCTCAAATCAAAGGAACAAACATTATGTCAACACATAACTTGGAGCAGAAATAATCTAGTCATAAATACAGTTTGTAAATTTCTTATTACATTTATGATTGTGATGGGCATAAATGACTTTGTTTTATTAAATAGGCAATTCACAAATCAACAATTTTTCTTGTCTGAAAATACATTTCTAGAGCATCCCCCAAAACTCGTCCAGTTTCATCCAACAAAATAAAGTCCGGTCCTCTGGACGGATTCTTCTTGTTGAAACGTTTCGTCTTTTATCCAAAACACTTCAGTCAGTCTGAGGAGCTGCGACAAACCCAGTCTTATAAATAGCACCTTCTCATCCACAAAGTGTCCAGTTTCATGGCTCTTTATTTATTTATATTTTTTAGCAAACAGACTGTGTGCCATTTTAACTAAAATTGAGTTAACCCCAAAATATTCCTCATGGATAAGAAGAACTAATGTTTGAGACCCCTTTGACTCCCCCTTTAAAAGAATACAGCAGAGTTATTTTCTTTGAGGGCAAGCTCTAAGGAAACACGCAGTCATGTTTTGTTTCTAATGCGTGACAAAGAAGAAAAACAAGGCGGCGAAGCTTACCGGTCGTGCCGTATAAACTCTACATCATGTCCTTGGTGGCATTTTTTGATACAGTTAACACAGATGGCGTTCCTATCTGTTGTATTACAGGTGTGGCATCTAAAAGGACAACGGAAATCAACATTTTAAACACAGACAAACAGGAATTTGTGTGTATAACATTTTTAATTTATATGTCACTAAACTGGAAATTTATCCATTTGTTTTACATTTCTCACTTGTTTGAACTAGTTCATAGTTCATTCACAAACGTCTTAAAATATCTCTAAATTAGGAGGAAACAAACTATAAGCGACAACATCTAATTTTACAGCAAAATCTACTGTAAAGCTGTATATTATCAGCACAGTACCACAGTAAATCTTCAGCTTTTACATAAATGTTCAAAAGTTTACCTGTAGAAGTCGTGCATTGGGTAACTGGTGTAGCTTGAGATCTTGTAGAGACACTGTCCTCTGCTCACTGCCTTCTCAATGGCATCCTGATTATGTTGAATTTTGTTATCTGATACAAATCAGATGAAGGTGGTTAGTGAGCCGACGTGCGGCTGAGCCAACACTAAAGTCCACCAATCAGACGCTCACCTTTCATAGTGACGTTGACTCCTGAGGCCAGAAACAGGCCCCCAAAGCGGTTATTGAAGATCTGGTTGCCCTCCAGAGTCGCAGTGGCATGGTTAGTGATTTCAATACCTGGATTAAAAAAAGGCAAACGATCTGATAAAAGAGAAAAACTGAAACCTTATCGGTGCTCTTCAGTTTGTAAAGCTTACCCGCTGCGAAGCCGTCAAAAATACGGTTCTTGCGGAGTATTGGATGGCTGTTGGTGCTGATGAGCACACCAGCCTGAGCATTCCTGAAAATGTCATTCTCTTCCAACAGACCTGCAGGTAACAAGTTCATCATGAGCTTTACATGTACAGATGATCTTTCTGATAATAAGGATAAAAAAAGAGATGGCCATTGATTTTAGAAAAGACTTCAGTTGCCACTCCTGTGGTCATTAACGGTGAAGCTGCTGAGGCGGTGCATCAATAAAAATATCTGGCAATTGTTCTTGATGACAAACTGACCTTTGATGCACATGTGAACTCACTTTGTAAGAAGACCCAGCAGAGAATGTATTTTTACTGGAAGCTCTGTGGTTTTAATGTTGATTCTACTTTTATGAGAATGTTTGATTGTCTCTTTAACTTTTACCTTCATTTGTTGGTTTGGATTGTTAACGTGCAAGAACAGGAACAAACTCTCGGGATGTGCAGTAAAACTGCTGGTACAGCCCTACAGGACGTCACTGACCAACACAAGGCGAGGTCAGTGAACAAGGCCAGGCCGATTCTGGCAGATCCTGATCACCCACTCCATGGTGAGTTCAGGTTGACTCCACCTGGATGCAGATACCAGCTGCCCAGATGTTTGACGAACAGACTAAAAAACTCATTCATCCCTGTCGTGATCAGGCTTCTCAACAAACAGCGATGATTTCAGTAGTTATTTTAGCGTCTCAATGTTTTGTGCACCTACTACTGACTGCGAAACAAATTGACCCTTGGGGATAATAAAGATTCTTGAACTTGAATAGGCATTATTTGTTAAAGTACCTCTGCCTCCGTTAAAAATGCAGATGCCCCCGTCTCTTCCATCGTGGATCTTATTTCTTCGCAGGGTGGGGTTGCTGTCCGTCTTGATCCACACACCAGCCATGGCATTGTCGAAGATCTCGTTGTCCTCGATTAGGCCCAGACCTGCGAGGCGACATCAGGAGTAGACAAGGAGCTAACTACATAACCACCAAAATAATGCAGAGTCAAAGGGAGATACAAACCTGAGTTGTAGACTAAAATCCCCCCGTTCTGGCCTCCCCATATCTTGTTGCGTCTGATCTTTGGGTTGCTCCCCGTTCTGTGAAAATTAAAATCCTTCATAAATGTTCATCCTAAGGTTTTTTTAAGCAAAAGATTCTGTTTTAAAATGTTTGCCTTTCATTAAGTTTGGAAATGGTTATTACCTTATTTGGACACCAGAGTACATATGATTGTAAATATCATTGTCTTCCAGCACACCGTGACCGTTGTCATAGAAATATACACCAACCTGCAATGGACAAGAAAAGAAGATATTTTAATAAGATGACAAAGAAACATTAAAACTGATTTAAGATGTGTGATCACAATAATGTAAATCCATGTCATTTTCCCCTAAGGTTATCATGTTAAGATGATAAAGTAGTTGTAATTGGTTTGAAAAAACATGGCATCGGTGTGTCCCTAATGCCCCATTTACACTGCTCCTAATCAGCCCCAACTCTGCTCAGCCCTGCACACCTCTGCTCAGCTCAGCCTGGATTTGCACCTGCACTTTAGGACCAATTCTGGAGGCGTGTCCAGAATCCAAGTCCTGCTAATGAGAGTTCTGCGATGAGTTACTCAAAGCAGTCTGCCCCTCAGATAAATAATATTAAATTATCTTTATATATGAATGTTTCTGTTCAGTGCCCTGAGAGCTTCTGTTGTGACTTGGCGCTGTATAAATAAACTGAATTGAATTAAATCTGATGAACCAGATCCTACAAAAACATTTATATTTGAATCTCAAAAAGTTAAGTTTGGTCCTCTGGACGTTCAAAAAACAAAACAAAAAAATGCAGAAACGTTTCTTCTCTCATCCGAAAGACTTCTTCAGTCTGAGGTGCTGTATTCAGCTCATAAAAAGCTATTTATAAAAGACTGAGGCTTATTAGGGGCAGTGCAAATGGGGCACAACTGTACCTGTTTGCCACTGTGGATGCGGTTCTTGCGGAGGACAGGAGTGCTGCCTGTGGTCACCCAGACTCCAGCCAACGTGTTGCTGTAAACTTCATTTTCCTCAATCACTCCCTGGCCTTTCTCGTGCTAAAAGAACAAAAGAGAATATTTAACAGGGCTGTAAAAGAAGGTGTTTAAGCTTTCTGTAGCACTGAAAATGTATTGATTCCAACTACATAGTAGATCACATGTTCCAGTCTACCTGGAGGATCGTTTTTGGAAAGTATGAACAGAAAAAGTGTATTTACCACATAGATGCCGCCATGCTGCCCATCGTGGATTTTGTTATGCCTTACAATGGGACAGCTGTTGGTTCGGATCTGGATTCCAGCCAAGGCGTTACCATATATGTCGTTACTCTCTATTAAACCTCGCCCGTCACCAAATATGTACACTCCTCCTTGGTTACCGTTGAATATAGCGTTTCCCCTGAATACAAAAACAAAAATATTGAGCTTTTAAAATGACATGGTTCGCTGTCATCTTGTAAAGGATATAATGAGTTATGTTATTGAACGAGTTATTTGAATAACAGGAGACAGTTTGTACAGGTAAACGATGTAAGATCTGAATTTTGTGTTAATAGATGGAGTCCCTCAAGGCTCTGTGTTGGGACAAAGTTGTTTAATTTGTATGTGAATGATCTGGTTGATGTGTCAGGGCTTTTTTCAAGTGCGTTTTATTTGTAGATGATACCACATTTTTTTGTTTGGGTGAAGATATTGAACGGATGTTAGAAATGATACAGGCAGAATTCGTAAAAACACAAACTTGGTTCCAACTTAAGTTGTCATTACATGCGGAAAAAACTACATGATAATTAGTACTAAAAATAAAATGATCAAAGTCCCATTTAAAATTGACAGTATTGAAATTCATAGTTATTGAAATAAAATGTTTGGGTGTCGTTATTGATGAGAAGCTGACATGGAAATCTCATGGAATAAAGAATTAAGAATAAAAATAGCAAAATCAATTGCATTACTGTATAAAGTAAAACTTTTGAATGACAAAGCTTTGCATATATTGTATAATGTAATGATTGTCCCATATTTAATCTGTTGTATTGAAGTTTAGGGAAAAGCATGCAAAACAATTACAAATCCTATTTTTATTTTACAAAAAAAGAGCTATAAGAATTATTAGTAGGAAATGCTATGGTCACTCAACAATTATATTATTTCATCAATTGAAATTATTAAAAAACATTACTCCCAAATATTCAATTAAAATTTGTAAAAAAAAAAAAAAAAAAAGGTCATTCTAACCTTATGTGAATGGAAATGTTTGTAAAACCTCAATTTAGAACTAGTCTGAAGGAGCTGCGTTGTAATTCAGGGAACAGGATTGTGGAATTGCCTCGATATCACCATAAAAATTTATAAAACAATTTATATGTTTAAAAAGATAATTAAGTTAAAATTGTTAGGAAAGTATGGTGCCATGTGAAGGATGCCTGATGTTTTTTGCTTTCGCTTTGGGGATTGTTCAAGCCTGAGTTGTTTATTTTATATTTTTTAAATAAGGGGAAGATATAATAATATTCTTCTTTCTGCACCATTTTCATTCAATGTTTTTTCCTTTTTGATGAATTTGTTTCTTTTAAATGAATGAATAAGTAAATAAATAAATCTTGTGAGAAGTGTCCTTACCGTATCGTCGGGTCACTGTTGGATGTGATCCACACACCAGCAAAGTTATTGGCATAGATTTTATTCTCTATAAACTGGCCCCGCCCCTTCTCATGGACGTAAATGCCTCCCGTTTGGCCGTGGTGGATCTCACAGCGGACAACCGTGGGGTTAGCGTATGCTTTCACCTCAAAGCCAGCTATGCGATTTCTATGGATGTTGCAGTTCTCAAAGTAACCCTGAAATACAGAATAGACTGATTAGATAAACTGAGGCGTTTCAAGAGACATTTAAGATTTGACAGAGATGGCAGTCGTTACCATGCCATGATCGAACGTGAACACCCCTACATCTCGTCCGTGGTGAATGTGGTTACGTCTAATGATGGGATTCCCATGGTTTTTCACCCAAATTCCTGCTAGCGCATTGTTGCTGATTTCATTATCTTCATAAATGCCCTGCAGGAAAACGAACAGATAGAAGCAAAGAGAATGTAAGTAAGTTTGATTAAATGTGTATTTGTTGCAAATACAAGATAAACTGTGTTTAATCTTACCTGTGCATGGTCTGTAATGTACAGACCTACATTCTCACAGTCACTGATGTTGCAGTGTTTGATCGTTGGACAGGCACCCTGTCCACTCACACACACAGCTGAACCCACTGAACACAAAAATACAAACAAGTGTCACACAAAAGTGAGGCACAAACTGTAAAAATAATCCATTTACAAAAATAAACCGCATGATATGAATGTCAGCTTATATAAGAACCTAACATCGGCAGCTTTTTCTTTCTTTTTCGAGGACCAATATTTTAGGCCAATTTAGCTGTCTGGGGACATATCGGTGATAATTGTCCCATCATGTGCTGATATAAGATAAGAAAATAACTTTATTGATCCCACAGGAAATTGTTGTGCCAGAGTTTCAATACAAAGGAACATACACAAGGAATCACACAAGATATAAAGACAAAGATATAAACACTGGGAACGAGCCATGTCCTTTCTTGCAAAAAGTGTAATCGTACAATGTATCCAGCAGAGGGCGCATGTGAACTATTTCAAGTCATGGCTGTTCACTTTAACTTTCACTTTCAGCACAGCCGAATCAGGGAGCAATACTGCGTAGTGTATTTGGCTGAACAGAGCATGGTAAGTAAAATAAATCAACAATAATAAATTCTCTTCAATCCTCCAACCCGCATGTCATTAGCTATGTGCCTCTCAAGTTAGCAAGCTAACGTTTAGATAACCTAGCATAGGCCATTGACTTGTAAAACTTTAGTCAGAACAATAAATCTAACATAGAGGTAAAATATATCGGTGTTAGTAACGTTATCTTTGTCGTCCTCAATGAAATACATTGTCTTAAATCTTTAATTCTCTGCAAAGAAAAAATAAACGCTGCTGCGGTCGATAGTCACGTATGATGAAGGCCTAATTGCTGTGTAAACAACAAACAGGGAAGAGCGTTTAATTTATATTTATGTAACACACTTAACTTTTATGGTGAATAGTGGAGGAAAGAAAATGTGAATACACATTAGGAAGACTATTTCAAGACTTCAAATGTTAAAACAGATTTAAAAAGTAGCCGTTTACTTAGAATCGTGGGGGTGGACAAAAGTGAAAAAATTTCAGCCATCATATCGGTTATCTGCATTTGCGTTCACCTCACAATGACGATATAATTTAAGTATTTGTTTTTTAGAGCAGTGGTAATCTACACTGCACTGTTGGGTGTAGGAAAAGACCTGACTTTCACCTCCATTTAGTGACAATTTGTCTTGTTATACACCAGGATCTTTATAGAAATCCTTTTGCAGCATTCCTCAGTTTTGTGCATAAGATGCAAGGCTGGCACCAACTAATCCACATGGTGATATTTAGTCCAACTTTCTTTGCTTATACTTGCAATTGGAGAAAATTTTTGACAAAAGATACTGAAAAAGGACTGCAAACATTTTTATACATCAGATTGATCAACTGCTTTTCAAGAATGACATAATTGGAATTGGAGCCGTCTAGGATTTTCTTCAAAAAGGCAAATAAGCCAAAGTTAAATGTGAAATATTTTTTTAGGTGGGTATAGACCAACTTGAAAACTATGTACATAAATTGCAAAACAAGACATCTCAAATGAAAAATACAATGATAGGCACCATGCAATAATCTAGTATTGTAGTAATTTAATTAATTATATCTAAATACACCAAATAAATTGAATAAAACTCAGGTTTCAGGGCTAAAGGAAAACATCTGACAATAGAAAGTTCAAATCCCCCTACAAAATTGTGTTTGACAAAAAGTGACCGAACAACAAGAGCTATGCGTGTTATGTTAAACCGTTTAGGATTTATTTGTGTAAATACTGCTTTTGTAAAGTCTGAGTTTAAAGAAAGGCATTCATGTACATATTCACATTAAAACGAGGGTTAGTGTGCAGTACCTGTGCATGTGGAGCGGATGGTACAGTGGTCGATGTTTGGGCTGCAGTTGACTGTGATCTCCAGACAGTGGTGAGCGTTATGATGCTGCGCCGATTTATCATCTGGATTAAACTGAAGAAATAAGGAGTTCAGACAGAGACTAAGCTTGTTGACAACACTGTCTTTCCACCACATCCATAAAGCGTCGATCAGGGGTGACGTCACTAGAATTGTGGGGAATTCCCAAAGTCCTGGATGTCGGGCAAACCGCACGACAGACCTCATGTATAATGGACACCTCCAATGCTTATGTCTATGTCAATTTAAACGAAAACAACATCCAAAATTGACGTGGAATATATTGAAGGACAGAGCAACACACAGCTCAAGCTACGGCTACAATGCAGGGGACTAGCAGTGTCTGGCAACTGGCTCCAATTGATGAAAAGATACGTGTGGCGTTTCCTGCGTTTCCGTGCTGATTCGTGCTCTTTTGCCTTGGTGACGGAGCGTGAAGATGACAGAAGATTTCGTGTATGACATATGCCATTGATTAGCCATGTATTGCATAAGCTTTTGATGGCAGGATGAATGATTTTGCCAGTCGCTGCTTCCATTTTTCTTTGTTAGTAGGTGTTCACTGTTATCTATCAATTACTGTGTTTTACTCTATATTTCAAGTGAAAATGTCCTTTAAAAATTGATCAGATCCAAGTTCTTTTATTACCACAATTGATTTTTTTTTTGGTCTTGGAAAGAGAGGAAATTTAAGTTTTCTCCATTTTTTTTTTTTTGCTGATTTTAGAAATAAACCACTTTGACTGCTTTTATAATACTCCAGGTAGAGAATGCTAGGATTTATGATGGTGTCTTTTCTCTCTAGTGTTTTTAAAAATATGATCCTGCCATTTAGTATTCTTGTTTACATTCGTCTAGTCGAAGTCACTACGGCCACAGAGTCGAATCCAACAATCACGTCTCTCTCCGAGTAATCGGCTTTGGAAGCTGCATGAACCATGTAACTTACACGAGGTTGCCAGCACATCGGTTGTTATCATTGCAAGTCCCGTAGCAACAAAGCTTCTTACTCACCATTTTTATGCAGTTTTTAAAAAAAATTTTATCAACGCAAACCACGACTACAGCACTAACTGCATTATACTCCAAGTTCTGTTTGGCCAAAATCCTGGTACTTTCTGATGTTACATTTTGTGTAGAGTTATTATTTTAGTAAACCTGATCTATTAGCTAGCTATTGGGCTCTTTCTACTGGAAGCTGTGATGCCACCATCAATACATCAAGCTAACAATGTCAGGAAATCGCAGTGATAGTTGAACACAGACGGATTTCGTTCAGGTGATGATATAAGAACATTACTATACGTAGTGATATTAAACTTAAATGTAGAAAGTAAGCACACTTTTTAAAATTAAAATGTGAAAAGTTATAAATATGCAGCTGATCTGACAATATAAAAATAAAGTTGGGTGGACATTTTGAGTTATTTTCCCCTGACATTAAAACATGTTGCTTTTTTTCCTATGTTTATAGGTGCATAACAGCATAAAAAAAAAAATATTGAATTAAACAAATAAAACAATTATCCTGTAGAATTGATGGCAGTTTTGTCATCGTGTTCACTGCTCTGCTAACCGAGCAGAAACTTCACTACAATCCTTTTATTTTGACCAGGGGTCGACATAAGAGGTTTGTTTGTACGAGACAACCTATTTTCGTATCGGACAACGGGCGGCTGTGGCTGAGTGGTAAGAGCTATCGTCCTCCAATGCAAGAGTTGGGGGTTTGAATCCACCAGCAGTCACATGCCGAAGTATCTCAGGGCAAGACAATGAACCCCTCGATGCCTCCGATGTGTGTCCCATCCGTGTATGAATGTGATCTTAAGCACCGATTAGTCTCTTTAGAATGATTTGTTCAGTTAGCTTTGTAGAGATCTAGTAGAGTGCTGTATGAATGGGTAAATGAGGACACAGATTCTAGTTTAAAGCGCTTTGAGTATCTTGATAAGATAAAAAGGCGCTATATAAGTACAGTCCATCCATTTACAACCAGATCTCACCTCGAGGTTGTCCGATGGTCAACCAGGTGAAAGACACGTAGACCAAAGTTGTTAAGCGAGAGTGAGGTTGCTGCAATAAGCCTGATAACTGTAAAGTGAAAGTTCTCAGCTTTCAGAAACAGAATTTTTATACTAGCACAAACGATCGCAGTTACAGTAATGCAAAGCGAGCTTTAAAATAAATAACAAAAAGTGATTGTTAAGATGCTCAGAATAAAAGATAAACATTTAGTTGTTAAAGTTCGGGTAAGTTTTTATGTTTACTAATTGATTCAGCCATCAACCATAATTTATTAAGTTGAAAATCTTTGCTTATTAGATTAAATATTGCTATGGGGATTGTTTGTGTGTGTGCTTGTATTGGTGGTTAATTTAAACATTTAAAAGGTTTGCTCTGGACATTAGTGGACAAAGGGTGGACTCATGATTTGTGAAAACAAATGTTTGTACGGAAGCTTGTATTTTGTATTTGTTTGTGTACTTGTTCCATTTTACCTACCTGCTGCTTTATATAGCCCAGATTATAACAAAAACGTGTGTCTCTGTTTAACTTTAATTTCACCCCCAAACTCATGAAGTTTTCTCTGTGAGACGGTCAATTTCAGGTGTTTGTAGTTTATCATAAATATCTGCAAAATTCAATTCTATACTGTGTTTTTAAAAATAACAAGAGGTTGAGCTAAACTTGATTATATTTAGAATCACACAGAGAGGCAAGATCAAATATGAAAAATAAAAAGTATTAAAAGGAGCTGACGTCCTGTAAATATAATCCCCTTGAACTAAACCATTTTAGGGGGAAAATCCATGTCTGGTAAAAAAATAAAAATAAAAACTGCAAAGGACTTCCTGTGTTATAATTTTTAAAACATATCTGACAACTCAATTGAAAATGAAATGAAAGTAAACTACAGAAAAATTGTTAAAACCTGTCTCTTCCTTCAAAATACAGTTGGTCTTGATGGTGCAGGTTAATTTTCTTACAACCTCAACACTTCATTAGAAAACACTATATACTGTGTACATATACTAAGGTCATGTACACAGCACACTCGTCTTTATGTGAAAACCTTTGAGAAGTAACATGTATGCAGTTAAAAAAGGAGCAGGGCAATCGGCAGGTGGAGAAAAATTTTCAGTCAAAAGATTTTTTTCTGCTTTAATCCCTGCTTTAAATATGCTGCGAAGTCTGATGACAAGGAGAATGAGGAAGTTCCACTCCAGCAGCTCCTGAAACAGTCTGCAACTCAGCAGCTTGGACACTCCAAGCAGTCCACAAGATGGCCGACTGAGAACATTTGTATATAACTAAACTTTGTATATAGTGCAATATACTTATTACATTTTTTGCCTTCTTTATTGCAAATGTTGCGGACAACCAAAAATATTGAGGAATGAGACTCTGTCTAGAGGTTGTCCGCTGGACAACCTGGAAAATTTCCTTATGTCAACCCCTGGGTACTAAACCTTTAATAGTAAACCAACTATATTACATTTACCTTATATAGACATAAGTGTTACAGTTTTAGTTGTAAAGCCAAACAACACTACTGTGAGCACATTTTAGTTTTTAGAAATGTAGAAGTTTCTAAATAAGAGTAATGGTTCTTGCTGAATAAATATTAATCACCAGTTAGGTTGGGCTTTTCTACTATATTAATGTTTTTTTTTTTTTCATAAAAGATAATTGTCATTAAACAATTGAAACAACAAATATGCTTGTGAAGTTTGTTTAAAAAAAGAATGCAGAGATTACCTTAATGGTCATGTATCCCACATACGCATCCTCTGATCCCTCCATGAAGACAAACGTTGAATCTCTGGTATTCTCTATTACGACCTTGTCTGCTACTTTACCAGGAGCTGAGGGCAAAGCAGAAACCATTCATTAAATCTCCTTGTACATACGCAGCTGAGTGTGTATCAACCTTCTTAAAAGAGCTATTGATTGCACACAGCAGAGGCATCAAATCTTCAGTATCCCTCAATGACAGAAAGCAACATGCTTACCGGCACCAATCATGGTGATGGGGGACTCTATATAAATCCACTCGTCAGTATAGATGCCAGAATGAACAAAGATGAGACCATCGAAGTGCGCTTCTTGAACGCCACCCAGTGCATCCTCAATGGTGTCATAATACTAAGAGGAAAGAACGCAAACGCTTTGAGATGGAACAAACACACTTGAAATTCATCAGAGAGCAATTTGGAAAAGCAAATTCATGCTTAAAAAAAAAATACTTGATGCAAAATGCCAATAATGAAGGACTTTCTCTTACCAGCATATTATCCCTGCCTTTGTATCTGCCAGGGTTACTGTAAAAATGCTCTGCAAAGCCTGGCTTTACATGGGCACCTTTATACTGCAACACATAAGATATAAAGATTAAGTTGCTGCAGGTTAACAAGCTCTTTATCCAATCTGGCTATCAAACCAATCCTTCTGTCAAAGACAAAACAGCCTAATTCAAAAACTACAAATGATTTAGATGCATTGCCAAGTTTCTGTACACACAGTGTATACATATAACATGTGACTACAAAACCCCCAAATTCCTTAATTATTCCCAAACAAAGGCTTGAAAACTAACTAAAAGCATTATGTAACAGATATATTCTCAGCATTTTTGTTTCCTGTGTTTAACCAGCAGATTTATCAGATGACTTTAAACCAACCATGACACAATACACAGAAACAGGTGCCAAATAAAACACAGATAATGATGTTTTACAACACATTTTGCATTTGTAGGTGTCTTTTGATACTACAGTCTGCTCTTGTCAACCATGAGCCAGTTAGCAAAATGTAGCATAATAAGCTAAACACATCAATGAGTGTTTCTTCTGTATGCAGCTATAACAATGAAAAGGCTTTTTGCCTAATTAACCTCACAAAACCAAACGTATCTTATGTACCTACACAGACTAGTCAAAGTCGAGCTCATTTGCATGGCTCTGTTGAATGTCTAGGTGTAAACTCACAATGAGGAGAAGCATAGATCTTTTAAATCACTGATTAAATTACATATTTTAACCTGAAATTACACCCCAACACCCAATATTACTAATGATAATGGTTCTGCCAGACTATGTATTGCTTTTCAAAACTCAATATTGCTTTTAATGGTTTACTTGCAAATTAAAAACATAAAAGATTAACATGAAAGACCAACTGACCAGCTGCTGGAAGCTCTCCTTCCAAGGGTTTGGATGTTCGTGATCCTCGGGGCTGACCTGGAAGAACCTGCCTGGCTCAGGATGCATCATGGGACGTGTATACTCAAACACCTCCATGTAGAGCCGTTTCCTAGATTGATGAAGAACAATAACAAAATGTTAAGACACGCTGCCGCTCTATTCTTTAATGGTTGTAAGATATGAGCATAAAGCAGCACCCACCATAGGATTGGGTCGTTCGCTAGCTGGCTGAATCTCTTGCACACACAAGCTGCCTGGCAAAGGTCTTGCTCCAGTAAGTAGGAGAAAATCTTCAAAACGACCTCATCTGGAAGCTTTTGCTGCAGATATTGTTCTGCTGGGGCTGCTAAAACACACAACACACAAAACTATTACATAATTCAGACACAAATCATAACGCTTCAAGCACAATAAAGTGTAGAAAATAAAGTAATGATCTAATTAAGGAACTTTAACACACCTGGCAGGTCGTGGGTCTTACCGGACACTCGTGCTCGCTTGGCTCGATGGCCAAAGGCATCTGTTGATGAAGTGGAAGCTCCCTAAAAATGAGGATAAGGAGGACATCAACGTCAAGCCAAGGGAACTATGTGCTTTGTTATTCTAACATCTGTTTAAAAGAGGATCCTTAAAACAAGAAAATCCTGACACACATTTCCACCAGTCAGCCTGCAGACACACAACCTGCAGTGACATTCACATGAAATGCAAACAAGGGCTTCAGTCTAACCTCCATTGGGCCCTTGCTGGGGCAGGCAGAGGCGGTGGCAGAGGCAGCAGCGGTTCTCTTGGGAAGCAGGGTCTTGCGGCGAAGCTGGTAGGGACTGTTCTGAGCACCTGGACCGGACTCCTCAATAGCCATTTCTGCTGCAGCGGCTGCAGGAGCCTCCTCATCTAATAAGGGATTAAAAAAAATAAAAATCTTATGCATAAAATCTATTCAACAGAAACACTAACAAAGCTGCAATTAAAAATGTATTAAAAACACCCTTTTCAGTACATCATACATAGAGTGCTTGCAGAGAAAGGCACAAATAACTGCTTGGCTGTTTTACATTAAGCTCACATGCTCTGTGTGCACACTGCGCATACACTGAGTCTAATAGTTTGTAAGGCAGACAAAGGTTGGTGATTGATAATAGCAGATGCGCTCTCTGCAGCCAAACAGCCTTTCTTCATGGTTAGTTTCTCGCAACACGTATTGGTCAGCATGCATTCGTCTCCTAACCACGCTCGTATGAGGTGCTGTCAAATATGGGACAGCGGATGAAGTCGATTAGACGTGCGGCTAAAGGCTAAAAACTGAACTGCGTAGCTGCTAAATCCGCCGTGTAAACAAATCAAGCCGCGACTAGCACCGGTAGTAAGGGCGCAAAATTAGCTTAAAACTGCAAAGACGAGCACACCGAAATGATCACCCAAATGACACAGCTGATCTGCGTGTGGCCTCTTGAAGCCAGAGCCGCTAAATGCTGGAGCTGCCGATATGTTTTTGTTAACGTTACACCCCAAAAATGGCAGTCCGCAGATTCACGCCCGCAGAACGGGGTTGTGACAGTTGGGAATGCAGCAGCCGAGCGGGCAAGAAGCTTGTGATTAGCGTGTGTTAAGTCGCCCCTTTTGCCTCCAGTTGAGAAATACGAGCCATATATGATGTCCCTGTAGCCACATACGACATTACGAAGACAACCCCCAACCTCCTCCTAACCTCCGATTACTCAAGCCAAACAAAGCGCGGCCTGGCCTGAGCCACGGAGCAAGAAGCCTCGGGTTTTCCTACTAAACCCGCCGCCTTTGGTTCAGCTAAACAAGCTATGGTTACGTAAAGACTGGAATCGCCCGACAAACGGGGCTTTGTGTGAAACCATTAGCTGACCGTGGCCTAGCTTACCTCTGTCCCCGTTGTTTCGTTCGAGCTGCACCGGGCGCGGCCTCGATACTCGCCTCGGTCTCCTGTTGGTGGCTCTGAGGGAGTTCATCTGGGGAGTTGGTTGTCGAAAAATAGACCGCTATCCTCGACCGCCCGCTGCTAAATGTTGTCCTCGACCGAAACTAGCAGCGAGACGACCCTATTCCCAGAGACCCCTAAAACAATTGTGATAAAACCACACCGGTATTCGAGGTGTAATTGTATTTTTTTTTTTCTACGTGGTCTCTCAACTACCCCGTTCCACCGCTCGGTGCCAGCTCTATCTCTCTCTTCGTAGCAGGAGGAGCCATTAACCCACACACAGGAAACAATCGCGAGAGGAATGAAAAAAAGAACAGAACGTCGGCTCGTCCAATCATATTCAGCGTTTCAAAACGTCTCCCTGCTGCAACCAATCAGAATCGTCGTAACAAACGACTCGTCAAACTCTGTCTGTTGGGGTTGGAGTCGGTCAAGCGGTGATTTGATCAATAGTGAGCGTCAGCGGCGCAAATAATTAATTAAATCCCCAAGTTCATATTTAAAATACATGCCTGTGTAAAAAAAATATAATGTGTTCATTGTACAAAAACAAGACAATGAAAGAGTGAAAAAACTGCTAAAATCCAAATAAAAACAATAAAAACTCTTCAGAAAGCCTGAGGATGGATTCTAGAATTTACACAGATAAAGAATTACTTTAATCTAATGCAATTTAGGACATGTAAAGCGTATAAGGTCGTTTAAAGGCAATTTGTAACAGTTTGTATGGAAAAAAACAAAACGTATTTCCCATACTTTGTAAGTAACTTATTACAGTTTGCCATGTTTTGTAAATATACAATTAATAAAGTTGAATGAAGGTGTGCAATTATAGATTTAAAAAAATATATACACTTTAGTGAAGGAGAGATGCAAAGAGGCTTTTAAAGTTTTTCTTAAATTAGTTAGTTTTGTTCTTCATTGTGAAGGGTTGTTTTTCTTTTAATAGGTCCTAAAATTGCAAAGGAATTTTAATTTGTTTTAGCTTAAAAATATATAGATACATGTTTATTTGTTTAAAAAAATAATGTTTCTTGGGCGAGCGTTGTATAAAACTGAAGATTTTTGTGTCATACTTTTGGTGCTGGTGTTGTTACTCCTAAAATAACCACAAGGGGGCGCTATTAAACAGTAAATAATCAGCCAGAATTAGAAAATGAAGGAAATTACATTTCTTTTTTTTAATTTTTTTTTATTTTATCATTGCTGTACAGTCTGAAGAGGTTAAGTAAAATTAAGATTTTTTTTTTGCATCAAGAACTTATGCATTAAATACATCTTATTCTCATCAATTTTTTGTTTTGTGTACATATATTTTCTGACAAAAGATGCTTATTAACCTTTTACACACATATGCACTTTTGTATGAACAATTTTTGAAGTAAACTTGATTAATTCTCTAAATTTATTTTATTTGTTACATTTTAGGAATTATGTCAGGAAGGATATTCATATTTGCCTTATGCTGGGCTTTGTTGTCATAACCATTGTCATGAATGGTGATGATTAAAGTGAATAATGACTTAAAACAATGTTGTTCTATTTCGTATAGGCTTCGCCCTTTAAGGCTATCGCTAGTGGGTTTATCCCTTCGTGCAGCACAGCACTGAAAACTTTAGTCCACGCCCACCTGCTGTGTGGGCCTCACCCCCGGTCCGTATAAATTAGGGTGAGACCGGGTAATCGACTCCCATATTTTCTTCAGCCAGCTAGCTAACACTGTCAGAAGAACAAAGAAGGAAAAGTTGTCCAGCTTTGACCGGCACAACCTTTGCTAAGGATGCCTGGGTCTCCGCCACGCCAACCTCCTGCCGTCCCGGTGAGCTCTTCCTCCCCGAGGAGAAACAGAGACGTGCAGCCTTGTTCAAGGTAAGCGCCGAGGAGTGCTTTTCTGTGACAGGCTGCTACCCGCTGGACGACGCCGTCGTCTTTTCTAACGTGTTTTCCTCGCGGTGAATCGGATGATTCCCTCGTAAAGGGCGATGTTAGCAGCAGCTCCGCTGAATGTTTTTTCTGTGGAGGGCAGTTACTCGCTGGACGACGCCACCACCATTTCTAACGTGTTTTCCTTGCGGTGAATCGGATGATTCCCTCGAAAAAGGCGATGCGGGCAGTAGCTCCACTGAGTGTTTTTTTTCCGTGGCGGGACGCTACGCGCGGGACAACGCCACCGCCTTTCTTTGACGCAGAGTCACGCAGTGAATCGGATGACTCCTCAGAGAAAGACGATGCTGGAAACAACCTCGCTGCCCCTTCCCTCCTGGAGAGCGTAGTGACGGAAGAAGAGCAGTCGAACGGATGTTCAGCCACCTCGGGTCTTCCCATGTCAGCAAACACACCGCTCCCAGCCGTTGCCCGGCATAATCCAGGAGGCTGCTAACACAAGGGACTTTCCGTCTTTCGCCTCCCTCCGCCCTGATTGGATGATCTGGCGGGATGGTTTGGCTCCGCCCCGGCTTGTCGCCCTGATCCCATCTGGCCTCGCTGTCCAGCTGTGACGTCACATTGGAACGAGGCTGCAGCTGGGCCCGGCAAGCTGAAGACATCCATCTCTACCTTCACCTCCATCTCCAGAGTGGAGGGCTTTTTACCGATCTGCGTTTTTTTTCCCCCTCGGTTCTCCCCCCTGGAGCCAAGCCTGGCTAAGATGCTTGGGGGAAAAGCTTCCAGGATGGACCGGCAACCTAACCCTCCAGGAAAGCATGACCAGAGGGTGGCAAAGCTCTTCAACCGAGCTCACCAGTGCACATCCCAGGCGGTCGCGGCGAACAACAACATCGCTCTGCTGGCCTACAGCATCTCAAAGAGGCTGGAGGAAGCAGACCTGCTGGAGGAGACAAAGAGCTCTCTCTGTAAAGCCGCTGACGTCATCTTAGACATGTGCACCACCTCTGCAGTCTGCCTGTCCCGCATCTCCACCTGGATGACCATGATCCAGAGGACCACCTGGCTCCTCCTTTTGCCATCCTTGTCCGAGAGGCTGCAGAAAGACCTGCTGGAGGGCCCCATCACCCCAGAGGTGCTGTTCTGGGCCAACTTCAGTACCATCCTTGAGAAATCGCAGAGGTCCAAGGAGGTCTCAGAGACTGTACACCATCTGGTGATGTCACAGTCCTCCTCCCGCCTCTCCGGCCGCTGGAGGGACCGCCTTGGCCAGCAACAGCAGCAGAGGCACTCCACAGCTGCGGCAGTGACTTCACGCTCCGCTCGTCTGCCGGCCCCCTCCACCAGGTAACAGATCCTTGAGGGGAAGGTATGTGCTTTTTGATGATGTATGTTTTGATATAAAACAGAAACACCTCTGAAAGTAAAGTTTCATCTGAGACGGTCAGATCAGCTGATCTCACAGCTGCCTCTCTTCACACATTCCCCACACAGAACGAGCCAGTAACCTCTAAACAGCGTTTTACATGTCTCAGAATTCAAGTTGACAGCAGTTCAGCTGCACTGCGTTTTAACCCTGCTCTGAAAAGTATCACAAACTCATTCAGATCGAGAGTGATAACCTTGGATGGGTTTTTATCCTCTTCCTCATAATTCTGAGGAGGAAGCAACATCTCACCTCCTTCTGTCCCATGCGCGCATTTTCATGTTACGTGGCGCACACGGCCGCACTGCGCCGCTTTCAGCGTATGTTCGTGCATTACTGGGACAGCTCTTCAGGACGTCCTCTATCCACCCAGCGCCTCTCACACTGGTTGTGTGAGGCTATTTCTGAAGTTTACAGTTCATCTGGTCTGGATCCTCCAGAGAATCTCAGCGCATTCCACCAGAGGGTTTTCATCCTCCATGGCTCTGCATGGAGGGATGACAGTGGAAGATATTTGTATGGCGGCTGCCTGGTCATCGCCATGTTCAATCATTTGTTTTTATCTACGTGATGTTTCTACTTTCTTCATGACACATTCTGTTCTCAGGGCTCTGACAGAATGATTATTATTTGTTTCATGGAGCCTCACTTTTGAGCTCACACCTGCCT